GGATCCATAGAGAGAGCGAGTGTGAGAGCGAACGAGTGAGGGAGAGAGAGGGAGGGCGGGAAGGATAGAAAGAGAAAAAGAGAGAGAGAGAGTGGGGAGGGGGAGAGGGAGATCCATAGAGAGAGCGAGTGTGAGAGCGAACGAGTGAGGGAGAGAGAGGGAGGGCGGGAATGAGAGAAAGAGAAAGAAAGAGAGAGAGAGAGAGAGAGAGAGAGAGAGAGAGAGAGAGCGAAAGAGTCGGCGACGAAACTCACGAAAGATGTTTTTCGAGACGCTGATGATTTTTGTTTTGTTCGCGTGCGCGTTTCCATTACCGTTAGCGTTAGCGCAGGTGGTCGTTGTTGTGTCGTATACACGTCGCTATGTCCGCAACCAATCCGCAACAAATTCTAATTGTAATGTAAAAGTAAAGCAACAACGCCGTGGGTTTCTCGCAAGCCGCACCGCTTTACTCGTATATATACTAAAATAATAACACCGAGCGAATATATTGCTTCTACTGTTCAACTGTTTTTTCAGAGGAACGTAGTTTTGCTAAAATTTTCATTTACCGGTTTTAATATTTCATGTGTTCGACAGATTTCATGAAATATTAATACGGATATTTATAGGACATTTTTTAGTAGAATTCGAATATATATAAATAGCATGATGTGAAAATAGGTAAAAATCCGATGTAAATCATAGGAGAATATGCGAAAACTGGCAGGGTAGGGCGATAGATCTATTGTTACCGAGATAGCGTTGAACGTGTTATTATTTCTTACAAGAGTATCATCAATGCCGAACTTATTCTTTCATATTATATGAGGGCTATTTTCAATTAAGTTGCGTGGGTGGGTTTTCTTGGGGGGGGGGCTGTGTAGATCAGTATAAATGATCAAATAATGTAAAATTTTCTCTTCCAAAATTCCAACATGTAACGTGTTGTTGGTCTTGTCATTCATTGCTTGTGCAGCCGCTTGTAACGGTGGAACAAGTTCGTACAAAGTTTGTTTTCATATGGCACACATCAGATACAATACCAGATACCAACGTGATACAATTTGCAATCATTAAAATCATGAAGTATTGTAGGATTTTATCTATTATTATTAGTTTCAGTCAAATTGTACACGATTTATACTACATGAAAATTTCAACAATAAAAAATCGAGACCATGATTTGTAATAGGTATAGGCCTATCCTAGCTTAAACGGGCACATCGCTCATAGCATAAAGGAAAATAATGACTATAATAACTTAATGGTGTTGGAATTTAACCCAAATAAAGTCCAATCTTGCTGAAATTAATGTCAGAAGCTGGAGTCAGTTATATTTACAGTAACTAAATCTGACCAGAAATATTAGCGGAAGTATTAGGATCAATAGTGAACACGAGCGTTCTATAAAAACCATTTTGATTCGTTGCAGTATGGGTTTTAACAACACTAACAAGTATTTACACGCCTCGATCCCCATTCAGACCAACTACCGGCAACACTCAGTGTTTCGTGGTGCCAAAAAAACATACACAATTTTAAGTTAATGTGCAGCGAACCCATCGTCCAAATTTCCCAAATGTTTCGCCACCTCCATTTGCAATGTTGCTTTTTTGCAATTTGCAACTATGCGCGTGGAAGTGGTCACGTGACGTGTAGCGCGATCGTCATTGGTTGTGCGAGCATCGAGTGCGTTGAGCGTGCGGATCGTATCCCGGAAACTAATATGTTTTCTTGTTTTATTTCCCCCCCGTGTGTGTATAAATGTAGGGAGCCCGGCAACCCGTGGGCGCTGCAGCAAGCCAAGCACAACCTAGTCAACAATTACTTTCTCGTGGGGCTGACTGAGGAGCTAGGCGACTTCGTCTCCATTCTAGAAGTGAGCCTCCCGCGCTTCTTCAAGGGCGCGCAGGAACTTTACACCTCTGGTACGTATATACGCCGGCGTACTCACAGGCACTTGGACCGTCTCAATAAAAAAAATTAATGGTAAATAAACACGAAATGTACCAAAGTCTTAATGTTTCTCTACTCTATTTCGCCTATAATGCCAGTCAAATGCTCATCTGCAACACGCAAGTACACCGCACGCCCGCGCTGTGCACAAAAAACATGAATAAAGAGACATGAATGAATACATAACATGAATGATGCTGAAAGACATTCGATGGATGTGAGTTGACGATGAAATGATCAACATGGATCATAACATAACAACATTAATACTCTCTTATTCATGCTGTTGTGCAACAGCGCGGGCCGTCCGGTTGTTATTCCCGTGCTGTCCCAGAAATAAAAAAAGAAAAAGAGAAAAAAAAATTAAAAAGAAAAAAAAAGAAAGACAAAAAAAAAAGAGAAAAAAATAAAAAATAAAAAACAAGAAATGAATAAAAAAGAAAGAAATGAAACAATTGATGAAACAAAAAGAAAAAAAAAAAAGGAAAAGAAAAAAAAAAAACAAGAAAAAAATGAAAAACAAAAATGTACACAGAGTAAACCTAATACAACCAACTACTACCTAACAAAAAATAAAAAAAGAGACACAAAAAAGATGACAAAAAAATAAAAAAAATAAAAGAAAAAAAAAGAAAAAGAAAGAAAGAGAATACAAAGGACAGAAAAAAAAAATAAAGAGAAAGAGAAAAAAAAGAAAAAAAGAAGAAACATATGAAGAGACCGGAAAAAGAAAAAATCAAAAACAAAAATAGAAACAAAGAAGAAAAAACAAAGAAAAAACAGATAAAAAAAAAAAACAAACAAAACAGAAACAAGAAAGACAGAAAAAACGAACAGAAAGAAAAGAAAAAAAAAAAAATGAAATAAAAATAATAACAAACAAAGTACTACAACGAAGATGAAAATTTGTAGAACAAAACTAAGAAACACGAAACACAAACAGTCAAAACAATAATACAATAAAAAACACAAACAAGATTAAAAAAGGAAAAAAAATAAAAGAGAAAAACAAAAAAGAAAATAAAAAGAAAAGTAGAAAAAAAGAAAAAAAAAAAAAAGAAAAGAAAAAAGGAGAAAAAAAACAAAAAAAAAAAAAAACAACAAAAAGAAAAAGAAAAGAAGAAGAAAAAAAACAGAAAAAAAAAGAAAAAATACAAAAAAGAGAAAAAAAAAAAAGAAAAAAAGGAAATAGCAAAAGGGACAGACCGACAAAATCCATATAAAAAACAAGAAACAAGAAAAATAAACAAAGAAGAAAAAAAAAAAAACAAAAAGGAAGAAACACCAAGAACTCTGACGCCACAACCACAAACCTAAGAACTTGAAGAGACACCACAACAACAAACAACCGCGCTAAACACACACCGAAACAACCCACATACTCAAAGCGACAAAATCATCCACCTAAATTCACCATTAAACAGAGAGACGTCTTAATAAGAACAAAGAGAAAAGGACATCATCACAAAAGCATATGCACAGAAACACCCTACACCATTTGGATAACGGACTGTACGACATAGCGAAAGACACTCACCATTAAACGATCAGCTGGACTGGATCAGACCATGTCGGTGACTCCACCCTCATGCCACACGCCTAAAAGTTTTGTTAGGAATTCCTAAAATATACTCCCTAATTCCCATATACAAGAAAAAGCTCAAGCCCAACCCACTAGATGCGGAGCGCGAGCGTGCGAATTTCACAACGTCTCCGCCCTAAACTCACGCACGATTGCACACTATTGGAGAAAACTATGAACTTTAAGGAACAGGTCAGGAAATTCTCAGTACTTATAAGGCATATCGCCCACATAAAAGAGCAACGCAACGCGAGCGATTTACCACCGGATTTATCATTTGTATATGGCAAAACAACTGAGTATACTATATTTAGATACAAATCACCAACATAAAACACCATAAAATGCACCAACCATCACAGAAAAAACCAGAATTATAATGAGCATTTGACCGCATTTACAGGTCATTATAGGCGAAAATAGATACGAGAAAACACATAAACACTTTAGGTACATCGGTTATTTACCATTAATTTTTTTATTGAGAGGGTCAAGTGCTTGTGCGCTACTACTGAAGGTGCGGGCACATCCGTACACGTGCCTGAAGGCTTGTATGCCGTTATCCTTCTATCGGAGGTAATTTTCGATAGACGCCTATTACACCTCTCGTACTCGTTACTACGTTACTGAACGTGCATGTACATCGTGCACGTGTATCTTCTATCGATCATAATCTTCGATCTAGAAGCTATTATATCTCTGCCGGTACGTCGTGGGAGAGTATCTCTTGGCACCAGGTTAACGTAAACACAACAATAATTTGTCGCATTCATTACTCTGGTTGATATCTTTCTATCTGAGATAATTCTCTCGCTTTACTACTATTTATACTATATTATTATATATTTTTTATGGTACCAGCCGTATTCTACTACTATTATAACTATAGTTATTACTATACTTATACCAGCGTAATTACTACTATTTATACTATATTTATTACTATTACTTATACCAGAATACTACTATATACTATAGTTATTACTAGTTACGTATACCAGCGTATTTACTACTATGTAACTATTTATTAACTCCTACTAATTATACTACAGTTATTACTATTACTATACCAGGAGTAACGTATAATTCAACTGATTTACTAACTATTATATATACTAAACACTTGGTGCTCTTACCATTTATGTTATACGCTTGAAAGTAGCAGTAAGGCTACAGCAAGTACCTTCATAAAATATGAAACAAATTAAGTACTGTCGTTCGACCGCCAAACGTTTTAGTGCATATATCGTGTTGTCGCCACCGTAACGGGCTTGCTGATTGCACTTCAATTTATAAGCCCTTACATTTACTCACCGCGATCGGTTACGCGACGCGCTCTATCAGATCTCGCTCGCAAGGCATCAACGTTTTAGTTCGTGCACTCCACCTTCACTCTCTGATCACAGCGACGTAAAACCCAGACACGTGTCGGCCCACTGCTGAATAACTGAATGCTAATAGTAGCTCATCGGTGTAAAACCCCATAGACCTTGAAACGCCCTGCCTCGTCGCTCGTGATTGTTTTCGCCATTTTCTCCTGCCGAGGATGACTGTGATAAATCAGATCAGTCGTTCGGTCGGTCGACGCCGTCTGCGTTACGTTTACATTTTATGTGATGAAGCTGTTGCTCTGCGACCTCTGTTTAACCTAGAACTTCGCTCTCCTCTCGCTCTCTCACGCCATCTCCGCTGCATGGACTTCGCTAGCCGGCGGTGATACACCCGTGCCTCGGCTGCCCCGGTGGCTGCTGCTTGCGGCGCGGCAGGGGGGGGGTGGTGGCAATCGATTCAATGCCATACGCATCACCGCGTCTGTCGGCCGCCTGCCGCCTCTACCACGACATTTACACCACTGAATGGTGTGTGGCCCCCGCCACCATCGCGCCGCACTTATTAACGCATCCTTTATCCCCCCTTCGCCCTCCCTCCTCCATCTCCAGCCCGCCCACCGCCCAGCGCTCTCTCTATATCTCCCCCTCCTCTCCCCCCCGTCTCCCCCCTCACCGCCAGCCGCCACTCTATATCTCCCCCTTCCTCCTCCCTCCTCTCTCCTCCGCCGCCTTCACCCGCCCAGCGCTCTCTCTCGCTTATCCCCCTGTGTCCCCCCTCCTCCCTCCCTCCAAACTCGCCGCCTCCACCACCCAGCTCTCTCTCTAATCCCCCCTCCCTCCCTCCCTTCTCTCTATCTCTTCGCTTTTTTCTCCCGCTCCCAGCTCTCTCTCTCTCGCTCTCGCCTCTCGCTCTCCTCCGTCTCTCTCTCGCTCCTTGCCTCTCTTCTCCTCTCTCTCTCTCTTTCGTTTTTTCCACCCCAACTCTCTTTCTCTCTCTCCGCCTGCTCTCTCTCTTCTCTCTCTCTCTCTTTACTCTTCTCTCTCTCGCCTTTATCTCTCTCTCCTCTCTCTCTCTCTCTCTATCGCGCGCCGTCTCTCTCTTCTACTGCTATATAGTATATATCTTTTCTTTTTCTCCCGGCACGCAGCTAAGAAATCTATCGCGAAGGACATCCGCGGGCACGCAGGTAAGAAATCTCATCTGCGGAAGACCTTCAACAAGGCGTCACCGGCGCCGGAGACCATTGCGAAGATCGAAGCAACGCGTGTGTGGCAGATGGAGAGCGAGTTCTACGAGTTTGCGCGCGACCAGTTTCACTTTCAGAAGAAGCGGACTATGGTCGAGACGGACGGCGTGCTCGTTGACAGGGGTCAGCAGTTCATGTTCGAGAAGATCCGGCCGAAATAGGACGTCGGAAAATGGCTCCCTTCTCCGGGAATGTTCCACGGGAGGGGGAGGGGGCCGAAATAGGACGTCGAAAAATGGCTTCCTTCTCCGGGAATGTTTCTACGGGAGGAGGGAGGAGGGGGAGAGGTGGTCGCCGTGGTGGAGACGCTGGCTTCCTTCTTCTCCGGGAATGTTCCACGTGAGGGAGAAGGTAGAGGCGGCCGCCGCTTTGGGGTCACTCCTGGGAATGCTCTACGGAAGGAGGGGCGGCAAACATGGCTGCCACTCTGGAGACACTAGCTCCCTTCTCCGAAAAAATGTTTCTACGGAAGGAGGAGGGACAGACAAAGATGGACGCCGAGATGGAAGCGCGGCCATCTGCATGTCGTGTGACGTCATCGTCGTGTGATTCGCCGCTCTGGAACGTCTGAGTTGCTGCGTGGATCGAGTCGAGTTTTTTTCACACCCGCCTGTGACGTATCGACGGCATCGGAGACGGAGACGGCATCGCATTTCTCGTATGAACAGCCGCTACTCGACAGTAAAGCTGGCAGCACTAGCGGCTAAGCGCCACGTGTTACATGCTGGCTGATGCGACCCCGTACTGTTACCCCCGTAACATCGCAGGGCCGCGGGTGGGGCGGTGATGGAAGGGTGGGGCAATAATGCAGTTGCAATGTTGCAATGTTGCAATGATGCAATGTAAGTACTATCGCATGGTTATCATGATTGATTGATCGCATTGATTGATTGATTGCATTGATTGATTGATCGCATTGATTGATTGATCGCATTGATTGATTGATCGCATTGATTGATTGATTGCATTGATTGATTGATCGCATTGATTGATTGATCGCATTGATTGATTGATTGCATTGATTGATTGATCACATTGATTGATCGTTTGATCGCATCGTGATCGATCAACTAGCCACGCACGGTCAACTGCTCAGAGTATAACCCGCACGTGGGCTCGTCGTTGAAAGCTTGAGTTCGTAGCTACACACATCAGTAATGTATTAGTACCTACTGAGCCGGTGCGAAATTTTGCGCTAAGGTTTGTTAAAGTTGTGATCACGAGATAAAAGTCTCGGCGCAAATTTCCCGCGATGTTCGACCGACGGTGAACGATGCTGCGACAATATTTTGCTCCACGAATATTTTTCAATAACGGTTACGTAATTAGTTGATCATATCAAAGGGAAAATGCCGCGACGTTGTCGGCATGGGTGATCGTAAAATCCTCGTGCGCATGCGTCAGTGTCACGTGATGTGAGCGAGGCTCGCGAGCCCGATATTCGTGACGTAACATCTGCTTCCCCCCTTAGCTCTACATCAGTGGTTCTTTTGGTCCTTTTTTTGAGTCATGGACCCCTTTGAGAATCTGGTAAACGCTTCGGGCCCCTCCCCCGAAAAATGCACATAAGCGCATAAACACAATTTTTTATGCGCCTGGCTCACGGACCCCCTGAAGCCCATCCACGTACCCCACAGGGGCCATGGATCACAGGTTATTAAGAACCCATAGATTAGCTCTACATGCATACATAGCACCGCTGTGACAGTCCTGAGATTCATTTGCGAGTGTATTTCTCTATAAGAGCTGATACTCGCATATCGTGTTTGCCACAGCAAGTCTAATACTACTAGCTATGATAAAATAGATACTGATTCACAGGTGATCTACTTTGCAAGCGGCCGGATTTGGTAGTTAATAGAGGTGGTGTGGGTGGGTGGCGTCTTATATATAGATTATATATAGATGGTGCGTGAGAGTGACAATGAAATGCAGAAACAGTGTCGAGGTTAGCGTCGCGATTTCATTCGCGCGTGTAAAAATGTCCAATGTAAAAAAAAACCTAGCGATATCTCATCTTGTGTACACCGTCATGGGGGGTTGTTACCCCCCGATGCAGTCATGTGCATACGACCAATGTTTGCATGTGGTCTATAAATAATACTTAACGTGAATGGTTTATTACGAACGTTTTATTAAAAGTGAATGTACGTTATGTTCGAGTATACTTAATTTCAGAGACGAGTGTAGCATAACATTTCGATTGGCATCAGCGGTCTGGGTAGCTATAGGTAGTTGAGCGAGTATGCTATTCGGGGGCTACGTTAAAAATGTAAATAGCCAGTAAAGAGTAGGTTAGATGAGATGGAGAAAGAACGAGGAAAAATGAGTCAATAACTTGGTCATCAATTTGGCTGCCGTTGACTCCCAATGGTCTGCCTTTCTAAACAAGTACTCGCAAGAGGGTGAGTTTGCCCAATCATTGTGGCCGTTTAAAGTCGCTGAATATTTATGAATCGTGTTAATAGATTCGCGAGCTTATTGAATGAAATTCGAATCGGTCACGAAACTTCTGCAGTTCTACTTCGAGGCGCGGACGGTATACGCTATTATGCATTGCCTTGTTTTCCAGGGTATGCGAATTACAGTCACAGCGCGCTTTCACACCCACTATCAACCCGTGCGTCTATTAGCTGATTATGTAAACGTCTCCGTACATTTATTTCATCCAATTTTTCGTAATTGGAAAATATTATTTTTTTATACAAATATGCCTCGAGACTGATTTAACAGAATATTTAAATTCCACTAATTTAGTCATTAATATTATATAATATGATAATATGATAATATGATATGATATATATATATATATATATATATATATATATATATATATATATATATATATATATATATATTATATTATATATATTGTAAGCGTGGTGAGCAGTGACTCACTCACTACACTCACTACACTGAAATGATCGTCGTTTGGGCGATGGTGTATTGTACTGCTTTTTCAATGCTGTAAATAATATGTCATCGTACGTGGTCCGAATATTTTAGTTGTAAAATACACTATATAGCGAAGGAAGAGTGAAACACGAGCGATAGCAAATGCACGTGTTCGCTTTTTGTGTATACATTATTATCAAGATCTAATAATAATATAGGTATTATTAGATCTTGCTATTATTATTATCCAAGGGTACAGTATAAGTAATAATATATCTATATATCTATATCTATATAATCATGTAACGGACTTTTTTACTCCAAAAGTTTCCTGTTGTTCCGTCGTTTGCATGATGCCGATATTATGCTGACTCGCATGAGTCGTTTATTGCAGAAATAAAACAATGGCGCAATTACGACTGTACGTCGAATTTCGTTCGGTTGAATTTGACAACCTCGAATAGAACATGTGGTCTAGTTTTTTTTGCGTCTGCGTCTCCTTTTTGCGTCTGCGTCAGCGTCTCCCTTGCGTCTGCGTTTTCGCTGTAGCTATTTACCTTGGTTGAATTACGAACGTATTCGTCGCGTTAGAAAGGGAATGGATATGATCGTCTATTCACAGTATTCGCCGTTTTTCGAGTAGTCGACACGAGCTCGGAATTATTAAAAAAAACTCGTTATTCGTCAGACGATAAAATGACAGAATTTGTTACGAATTCCGGCGGGAATTAATCGGTTGTTGTTGATCGTTCGGCTGATTGGTTGACTAATGAACGACCGATTGTTGATCGTACGCTTGTCGACACGTGCGCCGCCGCCAGGTGTCGTGCGGGTCCGCTGTCGTCACGTGATGGCCCGTGAAGCACCACCACATGGTCGTCTGCTGACTTTGATCATCATGATGTATTTTATACCGTACTGTCGTTATCGCGGTCGGCCGAGAAAAGTCTCGACGATGTTTTATAGAAAACATTTATATGAAACGTCGAAATCTGAAAATCTGGCAATCTGGTAAATCAACGATATGAAATCACTCTGCATATATATATATTTATGGGCAGTGTAACATGTGTGTGTCGTGCTGTGTGTGTGTGTTGTGGTTGTGTTGATGTGCGTGCGTGCAGTGCGTTGCGGTGGCGTGCGTGCAAGTTGCGTGGTGCTGTGGTGCTATGAATAATGTGTAAATTGAAAGTGTGCGGCGTATAATCTATATATATGTTGAGTGTGTGTGGTGTGGTGTGCTGTATTGTGTGTGTTGTGTTGTCTGTGTGGTCGTGAGTGGTGTGTGGTGCGTGCAAGCGTGCGTGCGTGCGTGCGGTGCGCTGGCGGTGCGCTGCGTGGTGCGTGCGTGGCGTGCTGTGCGTGCTGGTGCGTGCGTGCGTGTGTGTGTGTGTGTAGTATATATATGTGTAAATTGGAAAAGTGTGCGCGTTAATCAATATATATATATATATATATATATATATATATTACGTATATATATTATACGCCGCACACTTCCATACTTCGCTATGTATTCACCCACTCGCTCTACTCCCCTCCATCGCGGGTGACTGAGCGTTGGCACCAATCCAGGATTTGATAAATTTACCTGTACCGATCTGTACCTGTAATATACTGAGTGAGGCTTGGCATATCCGATCAATTTCACCTGGTGAAACCGACGCACGGTTGGTGGGCGGGTGAGTGGTTGGTGGGGTGGTGGTGGATGAGTGGTTGGTGGGTTGGGGGTGGTGGGGAGGGGATAGCGCCCACAAACAGACAGCTGTGCGTATTATCTTCTGCGTATGCATTTCAAAGATGTGACAAATGTCACTCGTCGTGTGTCGTTTCTTTTCACACGTTAAAACGAACGATCGATGAAGCGGATAGTGCACTTGTCCGATTCATCCCCCCCTCTTACACACACATACACACACACACACACACA